TAGTAGTAGTAGTAGTAGTAGTAGTAATACGGGTAGTAGTAATAGTAGTTGTAGATGTAGTAGTAGGAGCAGTAGTAGCTGTAGTAGAAGTAGTAGTAGTAGTAGTAGTAGTAGTAGTAGTAATCGTAGTAGTAATCGGAGTAGTAGTGGAAGTAGGAGTGGTAGTAGTAGTAGTAGTAGTAGTAGTAGCAGTAGCAGTAGTAGTAGTAGTAGTAGTAGTAGTAGTAGTAGTAGTAGTAGTACATCGGCGCTCCGAAACTTTATTCCAATTTGAGAGGCACGGCGCCGCGCGAATGCTGCGCAAACGCTATGCTGGAAGGTCGTGGCACTGCATGCCCCCTGGACAGGCGAGAGCAGCCGCGCCCCCGTGCGAACCCCGATCCCGCGCGGGGCGCGTTCCCGTTGACAATGGCTCACCCGGGAAGCCGCTTCTTGCGCAGGAAGTCCTGGGCGGTCTGCCCATCGGCGGCTCCATCGGACGAGTCCCTGAACCACCGTTCTGGGCGGTTTGCCCACGTTCGGTTTCTTCGGTTTCTTCGGAGTGAGCCCGAAGACCTCGAGAACGATGTTTTTGCAAGGAGTCCGAGGCGGTTTGCACATTTTCGTGTCGTTCGAACCGGACCCGAAATTTTGGTTTGCACAATTCCTGAGGGATTTGGCCACTTTCAGGTCGGCCGGTCAACTTTTCGGGTCGTCGCATGACCGAAACCGAAAGTTTTTTCCGAGGAGGTCCTTTGCCGTGTGCTCATTTTCGGGTCAGGGCACCGTTTGGGATTTAAGATTGCGAAGGCCTGACGGCCGGTGCCGCCGACCCTGTTCGCAATGCGCAGCAAGAGATTACGAGGTTGCTCAAGGTCGGCTTGGCTGGAGCCCAGGGGAAGAGGAGTCCCAGGGGGGGGCGTCGTATCTGACCCGGGGGGGGGGTCGCTACCCCCCCCCCCCCTCCCGGCGGGGGAGGGATCAAAGGGAAGGGGCTTCCCTTCGACTCAATTACGAGGTTGCTCAAGGTCGGCTTGGCTGGAGCCCAGGGGAAGAGGAGTCCCAGGGGGGGGCGTCGTATCTGACCCGGGGGGGGGGTCGACACCCCCCCCCCCCTCCCGGCGGGGGAGGGATCAAAGGGAAGGGGCTTCCCTTCGACTCAATTACGAGGTTGCTCAAGGTCGGCTTGGCTGGAGCCCAGGGGGAACCCGGGGGGGGACCCCCCCCCCCTCCCGGCGGGGGAGGGATCAAAGGGAAGGGGCTTCCCTTCGACTCAATTACGAGGTTGCTCAAGGTCGGCTTGGCTGGAGCCCAGGGGAAGAGGAGTCCCAGGGGGGGGCGTCGTATCTGACCCGGGGGGGGGGTCGACACCCCCCCCCCCTCCCGGCGGGGGAGGGATCAAAGGGAAGGGGCTTCCCTTCGACTCAATTACGAGGTTGCTCAAGGTCGGCTTGGCTGGAGCCCAGGGGAAGAGGAGTCCCAGGGGGGGGCGTCGTATCTGACCCGGGGGGGGGGTCGACACCCCCCCCCCCTCCCGGCGGGGGAGGGATCAAAGGGAAGGGGCTTCCCTTCGACTCAATTACGAGGTTGCTCAAGGTCGGCTTGGCTGGAGCCCAGGGGAAGAGGAGTCCCAGGGGGGGGCGTCGTATCTGACCCGGGGGGGGGGTCGACACCCCCCCCCCCCCTCCCGGCGGGGGAGGGATCAAAGGGAAGGGGCTTCCCTTCGACTCAATTACGAGGTTGCTCAAGGTCGGCTTGGCTGCACCGTTTGGGATTTAAGATTTCAAATTGCGAAGGGGAACCCGATCCCGCGACCCCGGGCTGGGGTTAGGCTCTGCCCTTGCATTGTGCTGGGCCCTTCCGGCCCATCGGCGCGCTGGGTTGCCCATCGGCGCGCCGACTCTGCCCTCGCGACGTCGCCCCCGTCCGCCCTCAAGCCCCCACGGTGGCGAAATTGGGGAAAGTTTCGGATCGGCGCAGTAGTAGTAGTAGTAGTAGTAGTAGTAGTAGTAGTAGTAGTAGTAGTAGTAGTAGTAGTAGTAGTAGTAGTAGTAGTAGTAGTAGTAGTAGTAGTAGTAGTAGTAGTAGTAGTAGTAGTAGTAGTAGTAGTAGTAGTAGTAGTAGTAGTAGTAGTAGTAGTAGTAGTAGTAGTAGTAGTAGTAGTAGTAGTAGTAGTAGTAGTAGTAGTAGTAGTAGTAGTAGTAGT